GCCAAAGATAGACACTAAAACCCAGAATGAGGCAAGGAAACAATCAAAGCAAATAAATAAAATGTGTAGTACATTAATTTCCAGATTTACTGAAAAAAACCTATCCCTTGCATTTTGGGATGGTTGCACATAAAGTTGAAAGAGTAACTCCATCATGTCATTTGTACCTGTACTTCTGAAAACGTAAATGTGTATGAAATGTATAACAGAAATGTGCATAAGGTGAATGTCAGTCCCTCTAGACAGCAGCTATTAAAGTGGATTACAGGGGTGCAGCAAGAAGGTAATTTGACCAAAAAGAGGAAGTAAGTCATTTAGTCTTGGGAAAAGAGGAGAAAACAGAAGGCAAGGCAAAGCAAATGGAAAGGAAAAGCAAGACAAGGAACAAAACTGATGATTAATATTTTGGCTTTATACACATGTACATAAATATACACATAAAACTTATGATCACAATTCACCAAGCATACTGTCCATCCATCTCAATTCACATGCAAACCATCATCCCCAGGCTGCTCCCACCGTGACATTGGCTAGAAGATGTGTGAAGGTGACAGATGGAGTGTACCAAGGAGTTCAGAAATAGCATGAGGTTTTAAGATGGGACGATACTGGCATAAACAAATGGCTCTCTTTCTTCCAGCAGATTTTAACCATTGACATGGATTATTCGGATATTAAACAAGTAGAAACTTTGAATACAAGGAACATAACACACAAAGTAAGCTAAGTTACAGAGTCTCTTCTTTCCTCCAGGCCAAGTTTTGAAGGACCGGGAACAGCCGAAATGCTTGTGAGCATCACACAAAGAAGCTAACGGATACCACCTGGCCATGCCTGAGGACCCTACAGGAAGCCAAAATTTCAATTAGACAAAGCCAGAGAAGAGGGTAAAAGTAAGACTTTGAGTGATCCACTCAATAGAAAAGTTGCCCTTGTGCTATTGAGAGTTGGCCATTGGGGACAGCCAGCCCCTCAACAGATCCTACCAGCCAAACTGAAAACAGCTTGGCAGCAGGATTTCCAAACTGAAAAAAAACCCCAAAAACTAAACAATGTCACCTCCTGTTACCAAGAGGAAAGAGCAGCTCCTGGTGTACCAGAAGAAAGGAAAGAGGCTCTCCCGTGCCTGTCTGTCCAATTTTTAGTTACTTCCATGAGAGATGCTACAAACCTGCCAAGGCCCTGAATGTACCAACAGGCTCTGCAACACCCTTCCTTCCCCAGCTCTGGATTTTGCTCCATGTGTTCAAGGTCATCTCCAATATGGTGCAGATATGTGACCCTGGCTCAGCTCAGGAAAACAGCAAAGTTGTGAGAAGAGCAACGAGAAGCCTTATCAGGACCTTTGTTCACCTTGTTTGCTCAGCAGCTGTATTTCAGCTCTGGCCCTTGTTCTGGGCTCCTGCTTGAGCTGCTGGCTGTGTACCTTGATGCTGGCCATGTACCTTGCCTTGCTGACTTGAGTTCCTGGTTGACCATCAACCTGCCTTACTACTAGGGATTTGTCTGGCAACCACTGGACTGAACCTGGTTACATGGATGGACCTATTTCTTTTTTTCTCAGTCAGGTGAGGCTCTGTCCCCATTTGTCAGACCACTGCCCTTCTTCCCTTGCTGTCCCCTCAGCTCCTTTCTCAATTTCCCTTGTGAAGCAGCCCACTCCTGATGCTCTCTGACATAAACAACAATTAAATGATAAGACAACAACTTTATCTGGGGACACTCTGTCCTGAGATCCACAGAGAACTGTTTGAGTAGGTAGCTACTGTGTTACTACGCAGCATAGTCCTTCTGTGCTCAACTGTGAAGGTCCTCTCCTCCTTCCACTATATTTGCAGCAAAACTACCTCCAAGTTCTGAAAGCTTAATAAGCGACTGTTTCACACAAATTTCTTTTGACTCAAGCACCGGAGTAACATAAGGCAAACAGCAGCCTCCTTACAATAATCAAGGAATAACAGGTCCACTTTCAAACAGTTAATTCCTTGAATGTTGCCTGTTTGTGAAGTGCCTCTGAAAGGTCTAAAAGTCATCAACAGGTGAAATTTAGGCTTTCCAAATTTGGACCATAATGTATCAGACCTACTAAGGGCAGAAAAATCATCTGCTATGCAGTAGTGTGCCTGGAAATTCACAAAAGGAGAAAGGAGAGAGAAGAACTGAAGGTGAACCATTTGACCAGGTGAAAGGCTACAGATGAAGGTCATTTTCTGTCATGCTCTCCCTCCTCTCTTCTCATGAAAACACCTAGATAAAAGGATACCTTCACTAACAATCCGTTTATGCTATCCACGAGATCATCAGGTAGGACTATTGACCTGTATGTTCTATGCTGTAAAATCAATAAAAGAAAGAAAAAAAATGGCAATAAAAAGAAAAATAGCAGTGTGAAAATCCGAGCTGCAGAGCATACTATTTCTCAGGCTACCTTTGTTTGTGTATTCACATTGAGTGATATAATACACTTCTCACAGTTTCTTCGCAGATTAAAATTTCTCTGGATGACAGTGTTCTCAAATAATATGTAGTCCTGACATTTAGGAACTTCAGAGTAGATATTAAAGCAATACTGAACTTCAAATTGCAGGTTCAACTTGCTGAATAGAACTGCTAGACAGAAATATAGATGAATCATACTCATCCTGGATATAATGGAAACAAGCATTTGCATGATGGTGATCACCGACTTCAATGAAACTACAGGCGTTTACACCAGCTGAGGGCCCAGCCTTGACATATCCCAAGGTACAGTAAACACAATTTCATACCTGGAGGCTTCATGAGCACGGATCAAGGTCCTGGTCTTCAGCTGAAGAGCTGTGGTGATGTATCAGCTGAGAATCTCAGCCTATGCTTTTGGTCCAACCCAAACTGGATTATACTTCTATATTTCTGGCAAATGATCCTTAATTTCCTAATCTTCCTGACTATAACCATTGTGAATGAATTCTATAGCACTGCTAAATGAGGGCCTTATCCAGAAGCCTTTACACATGCAGAGATAACAGATCTACTTCTTAGAGGAAGGTGTAAAAACGTACTTCAGATGCATGTCCAACATCAGACATTAAAGGGTATAATTTGTCATTTTTTACATTATTAAGAATATTCGTGCAGGATCTATAATTAAAACTAAAAGAGATGTCTCCTCCTTTTGCCAGCAGCTGTGTTACATCAATTAAATGGGTAAATAAGATCTTTCCCCAGAGGGGATATCACGTGACCCTCTATTGATTAAGACTGCAGTAGAACGTTATTTGCAATCTTATTGCATAATGGAAATCAGGAGGTAGCTGTCATGGTTTCAGAAGACAAATTGCTGCTATCTTAGACAATTCATAGGCCTCTTTCCTTCTTGCTGCTCTTAATTCACAGTTAATGCATGTCTTACAAGGCTTAGTTTCTTAAATCAGTCTACGGCACTGAATTCAACTCAAAACTGGATGCAAGCAGTAGTCTATGTGGCCATGCATTATGATGGGTATTGAAGTGACCGTTCCATCTATCACCACTTCAGAACTATGCATTATTTAATAGGGTAACACAACTTCAAAAAAGGATGTGAAATTAAAAATAGGAATCTCCCGCAGCATGCATGATTGTTCCCAGGAAAGACAGGCCTCCCCCACCAGGCACAGCTCCAGAGGTGCTCTCAGAATAGAACATTTTTAAGTCTTAGCTCAGCTTTGTGTACTTGATTTTTCAGAAGCAAAACATTTAGCTAGCTGGAACAAGTCCACTAGTCTCAAACCTATGCAGTCAGTGCAGCTACGGGTCAGTTTTGAGATTGGAATGAACACCTGACCACAACCCAGCCAATACTTTGCTCCTCCACTGAACTGTAAATCCACCATTATGCCCTTCATGGGAGAACCAGAGGGAAGGACAAAAATCTCCCTTTAAATGACTGAAACACTTTGCCAATTTGAGAAATCTTCCCAAAAAAGCCAGTCTTTCCTTACTTCTAATCAATCTGTCAGTTACAACAATTAGAAAACAAGTCCAACACTTTTCAAAATACATAACAGCAATATTCAATGATACCAGAATCTTCTCCACCAAAGTCAAAGAAACGGTCTTTAAGTGGTCTTTGGTGGTTATGAAGTTGTAGGACATAAAGCAAGATTTTTGAATAGAAGGAATGAGTCTGAATAACAGGGGGCAGTAGGACAGTAGTAGATTCAGACAAAAGTTACAGATGTTCCATGTGTAGAAGAAAGTGCTCAACTTCCCATCGTCTGTTTGCCGTTGCATAGGATTACAAATTAAATGTATGCTGCCTGATCTGTTCCAGCTAAGTTGATGGATTAGAATGTGTTCATCCTCCCATCTAACTTAGCAAGTTTAAAAGTGACAGGTTTACTTTTCCATTATTTATAATGCCAAAGCTGAATAAAGTATATGGAAGGAAATGCCAGTAGAACAGTTGTCCAAAAGTAATCTCTCACAAAGTGATAACAAAGTCTGGAAAAAAATATCACCTTGTAAAAAGTATGGAGGAGATTAAGACTTCAAGGAAATCACAGATATTTCAGTACATTTCATTTGACTAGACATGAACATCAATAGCATTAGATTATTACTGGCATATCTTCCTATTTAGGGAAATTACATGGTCCTCCTAGAAATGGATTTGTGTTTAAACCCTATATTTCATTCTCCTGGAAATTTGAAAAATCAATCTCAACCTAGTCTTGGTGAGCATAAACACTCAATATGGAGCAAATGTAAGTAGTAAAAGATAAGGATACAAATCCTTAAAGAATTAAGATGTGTTCTGGTTCTTTAAAATTTCAAGAGAGACATTTCACACCTTAAATTAGGGTCTGCATTCATTGCATATTTTTTTTCCCCTTTGCTTTGAAAGGCCAAACCAGTCAGTTCAGAATTCTGAATCTAAAAAAAAGTCCTTTCTTTTTTGAAGGTAACACAATACAATTAGCTCACTCGTTTCATTGTGCTTGAAATTTAAAAGAGAGATAAAAAATTTTCCTTACCTTAAAAAGTCTTAAAATATTTGCGACCATAATGGACACAGAACTTGCTGCAGCACCTATCACACCTGATATCTTGTCTGGCTTAGTGAAAATAGGTGGGTCACCATTAGCACACTTCACGTCTGAACCATCTTTTTCTATCAACGCTTGCACAAATGTTAAGGATTGCTCCAATGCGTAAGTGTCCCTGGAACACGTATCAAGAATCCGGACACCTAAGGTGATATTGGCGAGAAGATCAGGGTCTTTATTAATCTGATCAATTGCATACAGCATTGCCTCTAGTCTGTGGATCCCTTTCTCCTTCTTGAGCTCCCCACAAGGCACCCCTCTATCCCCTTTTGCATGGACGGGGAACAGTCCTCCCAAGATGATGTCCCCATCCAGGCGGATGGAGTGGGCATATTCCTGGCCATGAGTTCTTTGCATCACGGTGAGTATCCAGCAGAATTTGGCTGTTAACAGGAAGAAACAATGGCAGGAAACTAATCGTTTTCCTTCGTATACCATTTTCTCTGAAGACTTTGTTGCTGTCCAGTATCCAGATTTTCTTCTTGCTAAAGGATGAGGTTGACCATTTGAAGCTGCACTTTCTGGAGGCTACCATCAGTGCCCAGTAAGTAATATAGAATCATGTGGTAGGTAGAAAAAGTGTCTCAGTAGAAGTACATAAAATGTGTTTTACAAAAGGTGTCCACTGATGTCATGGGTTGATGAGCTTTTCCAAGAGGTGGTTTTCAATTGCTCTTAATTGATGGTGAAGTGTAGGGTCCTGATGCTAAGAGGAGGTCAGTAGCTTATGTCCTTGTATTTTGCCCTGCAGCTGAGGTACTTCTGAAAAAGACGGTGAGAAATACCATTTAGTTCAGCAGTTTTATACCTGTCACACAGCATATTTACTTTCGACTATGAGTTACATCGCCGAGGTTTTACTTCCAATATTCTGTATGGGAGTAATTCTTGGCCTTCTGTGAGTTTGAACACCTGGCTGCACTGTGCTACAAGCCAGGAAATTGATGATACCAGCAGAGCAAAAGCCAAATCAGGGGAACTAAACTAAGCTTGGTGTTCAGATTCCAACCAGTAATTCCTATTTACCTTTGCATTGCCTGACATCCAGAAACAGATTTGATCCGTAACACATTGTATTTTCTGTTTTGCTGTATCATTCTGTTCCAGCCCACAGAAGTGCAATAACTACTTACACTCTCACTCACAGAGAGGTTCCATTTATGACAATGGAGTAATCAGGGCTCCTGAATTTAAGTACGCTCTTCAGCCGCTGCAGTACAAGCACATTCAATTCATTTGGATATTAAACTGATTATTTCTCCAGTGGAATTCACTTTTTTCTGGGCTTACTATATATCTAAAATGCCTTCCAGATAATTTCTAATACTAAATTACTTTTATGAAAAGGTAGCTGATTTCTTAAGCAAAGAGAGCACAATGTATTCTGTTAGGAAACCAGCTGAACACCCAGTAATCCCTTCCCAACGTTTCACTTGAGCTGAGGCCCAACATTAATAAAATCTCTATTCTCTGCTTGCATTTGGACCAAATTAAATAGCAACAATGTTGTGCTCTCATTAACATCTGGAGAAGCCCCACTGATTTTAACAAGTTCAAGATTTCAGCCTACATATCTAGACACCTGTTAAAATTGCCCTCCCTTTAATTTTCAAGTGAGTGGCTTTTATTTATTTCAATATTTAACAAAATTACACGTGCCTGAATAAATTTTTAGACCTCTGAGGAGAAGAGAGAGGGAATTAATTTTCCCAAATACTGGATAGGCACGCTGTGGGCAACTGCAACTGAGCCAGTCTCTCAAGGCACCTGTCATAGACTTTGGAGAGCAGTGGACCTGATCCTTTTCTTTAAAAAGCTCTTATTTATTATGAAATTGATCACACTGAAGAATTGCCTACCTCACTGCCTATATAGAAGATCCAGGCAACAGGTTGATCTGTAGATATGTGCTTTGTCCCTAGTGATCTGACTGCTTCCTACCAAAAACATGATTAAATTAGAAGACAATTGTAGACAAAATTAGAAAATAGTTATAGACAACCCTATAGTTTTTCAAAGGCATTTTGAATTATTTTCCACAAGATTTTTATATATTATGTGGTAACAATACTCAAGATGTGGTTTTAAAATGCTTTGCATTGATCATTTTCTTCTTACATTAATTTTGTTACACGTTTTCCCCAAAATGATAATACAAAGCTCACAAAAGCTGAAGAGTTTTTAAATAGTGGCTGTTTGAAGACCTGAGAAAAACAGTCACAACGGAAAGTCTTCTATTGAATGTACAGGTATCTCACTGTGATTTGGTTAACAGAGCAACGACTCTAAAATGAAACATGTTTAATGGGCGTGAATAAAATCACTGCAATTGGGAACAGCAGCACACAAGACTTTCAGTGCCTCTTAACATTGAGTTTTGCTTGAATTGGGCCCAGGACTGAATCTAAATGAAACAAAGTCTGCGCTGTTTGATGTGATAATCCCATCGTTCTCCTTTGGCTCCTTTTGGGCACATAGTTTGCAAATCTGACCAGGCTTTGGCCCCATGAACTGAACCCAGACTCAGTCACAACTGAAGGAACTTGACTGTCACCATGTGAGTTCATCCAGCCCCATGGGATGTTTCTTCTGTGCCCACGCTACGGAGAAAAGATCTCATTCACTATTAACTAGACACAACTGTCTGATGTCTTGATTGCCTTAGCAGAAAAACACAGTTCAAAAAAGCAAAGAGTAAAAGTTGTAGCTACTCCTAAAATAGACACAGAGGCAATTTCCTTTCTGGTTCCACAATGAACAACCAACTCATTAGCCTGTGTGTGTATGTACAATCCATACAGGAAGCAGATCTCTGAGGGAATAAAAGATAAAGACTGCTCCTCTTTAACACTGTATGGAGAGCAAGAAAGCACCACTGAAAAAGTGAAAACATTAATGAAGAAAAGAAATGCTATTTTTCTCTCTCAGCCTCAGATCAATTCCTTACAGCCATAGAATGCCCAGAAATTAAAGCAAGTGTCAGTCTTTGTACAAACAAATAGCAATAGTGATGAACTCAACTATTACAACCCAATTCCAACAACAATAGTGAAGCTACAGTGAACCCAATATCCTCATCCAATACCTTGTCTGGAACTCACTGAAAGCCAAATGACTTGATAATAATTATTCTTCAACATTACAAGTCTACATAAGCATTAATTGCTCTGCCTCAGCTTGCATGTTTTCCTGAAAAAGTACGTTTCTTTGCTGCAAGTGTCCACAGCTTGTCTATAAAACAGAAATAAAATTTTAAAATGTTCTTTTTAAAAATGTAAGAGCTTTTAGTCTTTTTCTATGTCACCTAGGAAGTAAAAGCTTTTATTGCACTGCCTAATTTATTCATGCCACGCTGCTTTTCATATATTGATTAATATTAACTTTTACAGAATGTTGTAAGCCTACGTAGCTAAGCAGAGAGCATCTGATTAAATTAATTCCATTTTTATCAATGAATTTTAGTGAAAAAGCATGGGCCTCCAGGCTATAAAGCCTGAATGAACTTTCCTCATGTGCAGAGATTTCATTCAATGTAAAATGCTGTCCTTTTCCAATTGACCATAAAATTTTGAATTAATGCAAATATATTCTCGATTTGACAGATTCCCCACTGTAGTAGTTGGTGTGCACTAGAAACATGACTTCGGAGCAGAAATTCACACCTTTCCCCAGCACAGTCCAAGAGTAAGTGCACCACAAAGCCTCTCTTCCAGTCACCTTGGAATACAAGCTTCTCTTGGGTTTAATTCATTAAATATATCTGGCATTATCAGAACATACTGCTATTTTTAAAGTCAGTATTTCAGCACAAACCTCCACTTGTTCTGCTAGAATATATATTTATTTTTAAACCTAAGGAGGCGGGGTACTGCAAGACAGGGGACATGGAAACTTCTGCATGTAGTGTCTGGTTCTGAAATTACTTCCTTCGTAAAATCATTCAGCTTTATGGGATAAGTGGTACGCGAGGATGGGTACTTTGATACCACGTTGCCAGAGTCAGTGCATCGGCACGTGCCTGGACCAGTCACTATTCCAGCCACAGACTCACTGCTCTGACAGTGACAGGGTTCATTATGGGAGTCCTTTCTGTTAACGAACAGGTATAAATAACGAACTTAGAGTGACAGATAAACACTTTGACAAATATAGGTAGTGTCTCTATTTTGGTAACGAGGTTCCCGAAAGAGCCATCGTCAGCTGGCACCAAAGTCATGGCTGAAATCATATAGGAAGATTTGATATCTTCATCTGGAAATATTGTTTAAAAAAATCTCACATTACAGACAGCTGCAGGAACAAGAACTAATCTCCGCAGCATAAGCAGGAAAATGTGTTCACTGAACTTCATGGAACATTTTTTAATTGACATTGCCTGTCAGACTCAAACCCTTTACAGAGTGACAACAAAAAGCTGGGGAGGGGGAGGAGGGGAGGAGCGTCTGAGAAAGACTACTTAAAATTTTGTTTGAAGCCAAGAAATTCATTTGTCATTGCATTTGAAGCACATTTGAACTGCATTAAAATAAAATAAATTTTAAAAAACACATTAACCCGTGAAATCTTAGAGTGAAAACCCATTTCTGCTTTCACAGAACGTCAGGCTGTCCAGTCAATGCAAAACTGATCTGGATTTGCTGAATGAAAATAAAATAATAGCGTCTTCCATTAAGAAGTTCTGAGGAGAAAAAAAAATGGCAAAAGTGTGCTTATTTTGACTTTCTACTACCGATGTTACTTCTGAGCTATCAAATAAGAATTATCTTGCTAATGTTCTTTGCAATGTTCATAAAAGTTGCCTCTTTCTCCTGCACAGCATTCAGCGACGAACAAATAGCCGAGTTTCCACCCAGAGCAGGTGAAGAGGTGCCACCTGCATACAGTAACCTGACATACAGAGGAGATTAATGGGTTTTGCTGACAACAGAAGGGAATTTGGAAAACCTTAGGCCTTGACATCACAACTCCTAACCTGCAGGAGAATTCTTCACTGATGTAAGTAGTCTTATCCACCTCAGCTCTTCCGTAATGATTTGCTATGCCCCTGCCACAGAGGTAACCTTTACACAATAATCAGGACTTTCAGGCGAGTCACCCTCAGCATCTCGTTTACAGCAACTATTTCCTCCTGGTGCACCAGGACAGAAATGCCTCCACTCAGTCCAATCAGCCTCTTTCCAAATACCCCAGCACACCTGCCTTCACTTTCCGCCCTGCAAATACTCGTTTTCCAAACAAGCTACCCCGCCAAAACCCAGCACAGGTCCTTCTGGCAGGGCAAGACTGACCGGAGCTTGTGATTTTTAAAAAGGAAACAGCATGAAATATTTTCCTCTGCCCCAGCCTGGTCTCCACAGCTGAATAAACCCCATCAATATTAACACCTTTTCGAGTTGGTTTCACCTCTGGTTTTGGCGAGTGACGATCAAGGAGATTTTCCCAGACAGCCTTGGGGAGCTTTCCCTCTTGCTTCTGTTTGCGTTTTACCCTCTTCCCGCCAGACCCCCGCTCCCCGGCGGCACAGCTCGGGGCTCAGGGCAGCCGCTGGGCAGGGCAGCCCGGTGCCCCGGGTGCGGGGCTCTGCCCCCGACAAACGCAGCCGCCCGGCGAAATCATCCCGGGCCACCCTGCAGGAAAGACACCCCCCCCCCTCCCGCCCCCGCGCCGTGTCCGCGGCCGACCCCGCCGAGCGGCGGCGACGAGCCCCGCACCGCGCTCCGCACCCCGCTCCTCGCACGCCGGGGCGTTCCGCGCAGCGCTCCGCACCGCACCCTGACAACCGCACGCCGCGCACCGCACTCCGCGCACCCCGCCCAGCACTCACTCCGCACCTCGCACCGCGGTTTCTCCCCCCGCCCCGCCGGCAGCAGACACCCGGCCACGCACCGGCTTTCCGTGCGGCTCCTCCGCGCGTTCCCGGCTGCCCCTGGGTTCCTAACGCATCCCGGCACCTTTCCCGGCCCCGGGAAGGGCCAGCGCGACCTGCCCGGCCCCGGCCGGCCCCGCCCGGCGGAGGGGCCCCGGGAGCGCCCCCGGGGCTGGGCGAGCCGCCTCTCCCCGCGCACCTCCGCCGCTACCGCCCATCACCGCGGTGCTTCTCCCTTGAAGGGAGCCCCCTATTGTTCTCCACTTCACTTAGCCAAGCTATTTATTATTATTATTATTATTTTGCTCTCTCTCTTCCCGGGCTCATCCCTACCCCAGCCGGCGTCTGCGGTTGCGGGATTCCGGCACAGCCTCGGCGCGGCTCTCCCCGGGGCCTCGCTCCTTCCCGGTCGCGGCCGTAGGACGGGTTTGCACCGCTTCGCTCCGCGGCCTTGCGGCCGAGGCGGACGGTGCGCGGGGGGCGGCGGGGACATGCGGATCTGCCAGCAGGAGCCCCGGCCGGGAGCACCGCACCTCCGTCGGCGACGATGCAAAAAAACAAGCGTCGCCTTTTATTTACAGCCGCCGGCGGATCCTTCCTCTCCTTGCATCAACCGGTCAGCTTTAATGCGCTTCAGTTCCCCCTCAATGAAAACCTAAGTCTCTTTTAATGAATCCCCGGTCCCAGAGGTCAGAAGCTTGCGAACTCCAAAATGCCAACGCAGGATTTGCATGCACTTTGGGTCACTGATCGATATTTATTACTTGAGTTGTGCTGAGGGTTTGTTGTTTTGGGTTTTTTTTGCTTTTCTTTAACCGTATAATACATTCACCTGCCAACACTTCGGATTCCCGCAACACATGCCAGCGCTGGGGGATGCTGCTCCGCGCCGGAGACAGCTCACCCTTTGCTGCGGGCCGGCACAGCCTCACACGCCCTCTTCCTCAGGAGAGGAAGCCCCCGGAGCCCGGCGGGGATCCCCCTTCCCCTTCCCGCCCCAGGGTCACGGGGGTCTCCCCCGCGGAGCCCACCCGGCGTGCGGTGCGGTGCGGGCAGGCGGCAGCTCACCCCAACCCGGCCCCGGAGCCCAGCGAGAAGTTGAGGGCGGCGGGCAGGGCTGGCCCCGTCCCCCCTGGGCGGCGGGAGCCCCCTCTTCCCTCCCGGTCAGCGAAACGGGAACAGGGTGGCGGGGAGCGCGGGGGAACCCCTGTGCCCCCCCCCCCCTCCTCTCGGGGGTGGGAGAGGACCCAGTTAAGGAGGCAAAGGGGAGCTCTCACTCTTCAGGAGCACCCAGACCCTCCCTTTTCGCTCGCTGCCGTGACGGCACCGTGCCCGGGATCTCTTTCGATAGAGCTGACCGGGGGAGGATATCGACAATAAAAATGATAAATAATTAAAGCAAAAAAAAAAAAAAAAAAAAAAACCCCCGGCGCCCCAAAGGGGGCAAATGATAAATAATTAAAAAAAAAAAAAAAAAAAAAAAAAAAAAAGCCCCCGGCGCCACGAAGCGGGCGGGGAGGATTGCCCAACCCCAAACCGTTAACTGAGGTAAAACTTGCAGCATTTGTGGACTCCTCTCCCCTTCAAATAAGAACTAAAGCGGACACACACACGTACACAAATACCTTGATCGAAAAGAGTTGCATATCCATGTTACTGTAGAGGTCACGGGAATTAATACCGGGCGCCAGCCGGGAATAGCGTGAGGTAATTTCTGTACAACCGCCGTCTCCAACGGCTTCCCCCGGTAGCGTCAGCTCCAGGTGCCGGGCTCAGCCCGGGACAGGTATCCCGGAGAGTGGGTTCCGTCGTGCTGCACAGCACCCGCGGTTACCCGAGCCCAGCCGGCTCCGCCGCCTCCTTCCTTATTCCTCCTCCCCTCGCCTAAAAAAAAATAAAAAATAAAAAAAATAAAAAAAACCAACCCAACTTTTTGGGACCGGTGGCTCAGCCCCCCCCGTGACGATTCCCACCCTCTGCCGCCTCGCCGCTCAATCGCGGCACCGGACCCACGCACCGACCGGCCGCGCCGCTCACGGACAAGTAAGAAAACGCC